TCCTTCCTTTAGTCGTCTCCAGGCAAGATTAGCTGCTCGACTCACTCTATATTCATTGGGATAAAGTCGCTACGTAATGCTTAATGAATACGGTGCAGTTTGCAGCCAACGCAGTAAATATTTTCCTGTGTGGAAATAAATTTATCATGGCGTTAAATAGGTACACTAACGTTGTCAATCTTTATATAGATATTGATTGAGTTTAGGCTTAGTTAGGAATGATTTTGTCTGCTATAAGTTATTGTCAATTTTGGGTTTAATTGGAGGTTACTCCAATATATTTCCGGATTAATTCGGTTTCGTTTTTCATTTGGATCTTATGTACTGTAATTTTACAACGTTAATTACACATTAGGTACTTACATCTATAATTTTGGAGGAACTGGTTTATATTGTCCATAAATAATTATTTTCCGATGTTGACTTTTTACCTTATAATTTTTCAACGCTCAAAATACCTTAGTTAAATTGAAACCCCACTGTAGCTTAGTTCTTCATCCTCAAAGATCGTTGTCAATCATGAAATACAACAAACAAATGTCTAATAAATGTGTCTGACTTATTTTTTAATTACGGAACAAATAATTAAAGATGCTTAATATTTCACTTATTTTATATAAAAAGGAATTAATTGTTCTCCGTATGTGTTTATAATAGTTAATTTTACATGAATGTGAATAATTTGATTCGTATTTTAAAGATATATCAAAGTGCTTTTTATTACTTTACAGATATTTTAAGTGAAAACAAATACTAAAAATAATGTTTGAAACTGAAACTGTGACAATAAAGGAAATGAATAAATAACCTTATCCAGAGAAGGTCCGTGCGCTCTGTTTGAAATTGACAGATATAAATAAAGAGTTGAGCTATCGGGCTGCCTCTCTCAAACCTTCCCTCCAAAAATACAGACCTTTCACCCGTTCTGCCGCCAAAACACTAAACCCGCTTAGCTGATCTCTACGTTTATATCCCCTTTAGTTGGATAGGCTGTGCGTGTTACATTTTGTCGGTATTTCAATTAAATTTAATACTAATGACAAATGTACTGGTGTTTACTTTACCAACTCTGAATATTTAAAACGCGATTACCCATGGTCTGTAAAAGAAACACTGTTGTTATAAATAAGGTTCTTATTAATTCCCGCCTTTTAGACGAGACGGACAAACTCCATCATCAATTGTAGCGACACAATACGAGAGCATCGGTCCGTGATGAGATACGTTGTAGCATCTGTTCTAATACAACGATCTACCTTGTGATATTAAACGAAATTGTAAGAACGGGTGGAAGAAATTTAATTTATTGGTTGTGATTCATCAGTCTATGATGAGGACAACCATCCACCAATCAGACTAGCTTCTTCTAGAGAAAATAAGAAAAGAAACACCATGTTAAATCCATCTATGTTTAGATGTTAAATCTATATATGTTTATATCCAAAGGTGAAATATGTTTTAGAAAAATGTCCCATCCCTATTTTGTAATTTAGTGTGAGTGACGATTTCTGTAATTATATCTACGTTATAATTAAATTATATTCTAGTAAGTTGTGCGTATTTGGTCGTCTAAGTTTATATTTTGTATAATTCCTTCAAAATCTAGAACGCATGGATCGTATCTGGGTCAATTGAACACAATTGTATAGACCTTTGACTGGACAGATTCGGATGATCACATTCAGGCTAGTCATGTAAGGTTCCGGCATTATATTGGTGGTTGGCGGGATTTGAGCCCGAAATCTCAAGTTCGAAACCCACGCTTTACCAATAGACCAGCTTGCCACCTAATCATGAAAAAGTACACACTACAAAACGCAACCATTTTCCTAACTCTATCTTAGAAAATCAAGTATTAATTGATACTATTAAACTCTTTATCGGTAACACTAAACCCAACCATCTAAATGACATACTTTTTTTAATTTCATAGTTAGACTATTTTTTGTTTCGAAACGAATTTTTTGTGGTACGTTTATACCTTAATATTTATCCCAAAATGCAATCCCCAAACACTTCATTGAAGTTAAATCGGTTATCAACCTTAAACAAACTCAGTTATCTCAGATGATTTAATTTTATGTATTCGGTCAAGTAGCGGCGTTGACGTGGGTGCCTATAAGATCAGGGAATGGCTTACATAGCTTTTACATTACGGTATCCTGTAAATTGGTTCATCGCCTATTGGATTTAGCAGCGCATTATCAACGATTTCGTGTTTACAGAAAACTCCACGAGTCGACTCAGGGGATGATTCCTGTTATTTTATTTACAGAACGTCTCGATTCGTATTTGATTTTTATTACGTGCGTAATTTGTTTGTATTATTATCTTGTTAAACTTTGTGAGTGTAGTTTCCTTTTAGAGTTACCTACATTTTCTTATAGTAGAAATTTATCAGTCGTACTTGGTTATTTGCCCAATATATATAAACTGTGTTCAATACCATCGACAGGGCTATGCATCTATTAAATTTAACGGATGTAGCAGTTATTTTTCAAATATATATTCAACTAATACAAATTCTAATAAACACCTTTAGGTTCATATTTAAAAAATGAACTTACAAACATTATTTGCAGACTACTAAATGAAACTTATAATAAAATAAAATTTTAACTAATATTTAACTGTTATGTACACTTATTTAAACTTGTACCACTTGCGGATATAAAAAAATATTTTCTCATAATTGTTGTTACGAAATGTGTTATTACCAGGATGTATAAATTTTACCATTATTTATTTAACATTTACAGTATTAAAATTGATTATTAAATACAGTGAATAATCTAACATGTAACGTAATGGCTGAAGTAAGTTGAGGTTATTTTAAAATAAAGGCTCCCTAACTAACAGTGCTCCAATTTTGAAAAATCCATTTCCGTTTCCAAACTGCAAAGCCATAAGTCACAAACGTAGTTCATTCCTGGCCACAAGGAGCGCTTTTATCGGGAATTCCAATTAAATTTTACGCGATATATTAAAACCGATCCGTCGTATTTCAACTTTCCAGTTTCAAAAGACGTATCAATTAAAGTTTTGCGCCACTAATGATCGGTCTGTATTCAATGTGTGTTCAATAGAAGCTTTAATACCCGTCAGGCGAAGCTTGTATTGGATTTTATTATAAAACATATATATTTTATCAGGCCTTTGATTGATAAATTATCGAAAATATCGTAGTAAAAATTTATCGATCTTAGGTTTTACCTTTTTTCCACAGTGAATAATTTTATGGTTAAATGAAATTTTGGGTTATGCGTTTCTTAAGTTGAATTTTAAGGGGTTTTAATTTTCTTTGTTTAAACATGATATTTTGTACATCGTCGTTTAATTACTAACTTATATAATTCTCTGACATTAGTAGGCATAACCGTTTTATGCACAAGTATAGTAATCAAATGGTATGTAAAATAACCTATTTTCTGGAAGAATGCAGTTCGAGCACACGTTACTAGTTTATTTATAGAGTCTGTCAGCAAATGTTGCGGGGATTCAGATTTTTTCACATCTGGTCATTACTAGACATGACATGCAACTTCCAGTTATGTTCAGACAATGCTTTGTGTTTAATGTTTTGTTTTATCATTCTGAGGAAAATGCGTTTATCTATATAAAATGTGTAGTTCCAACTATCGAATCATACTCATCATCGACTACCATTGTTGAAGCTGAATTCTAATTACTCAGGAATTTAAATACTGAAAGGGAAGATCATTAAATAGACACATTCGAATTTGTTAAGAAATTACGAATTGTTTTAACAGTTACACATGCGTTCCCACTATAAGTATGGTAAGATATTTTATAAATACATATTGTTAGCCTAGGAGGATGTAGCATCTAGTAATGGGGGGGAGGACTCTCTGTAGGGGCAGCTGGTGTAATGAGAATATACAACGTCCTGTGTGGTAATGTAGAAATATGTGCCACTATCGCACCCTTACATGACACCACTGAACCATTATTGCTCTCAACATCTATACAATGTCTTCACATCTCTTTCTAAAACTCTACAAGCTGACTTTGTAGTTGACTGTTCCTGATCATTGGGCTTTAAATAAATGATCCTGACTAATGAAACCACTGATCTTAGTCAGTAACAAAGCTACACAGGTCATCACACACCATTCTACACTCATCCTTCGCTCATATTTGGGTTAAAATACGCACCTAGGTGGCGGCCCCATCTCAATAATTGATTGATTGATTGATTGATTTCGATTGAAATCTGCTAGTTAATTTATAAAATTCCAATTTTTTTGAAAAATTAATTTGGGAACTAATATTTGAATTTTGTGTACGTTTCACGCATTAAAATTTTAATTTTTTTTCTAATTTAGCTACACTGACGGTCCAATTGGTAAATTTTACCAAGCAACTTAAGTTTGGGCAATAAAACTATTGTTGTGAATAATCGAAACAACACAAAATATGAAATCTAACAAAATATTAACGAGAAAATCTTCATAGGTAAATACAGAAAGCGACTTTTCATATTCAGGTGCGTAGTTATATTTAACACTATTAATGAATGCAGATTCAATTTTAACTATCTTCATCCATTAGGTGTAAATTTTTAATAAAGATTTTTACAATAAAGTGTAAATGCTTCTAAGTTAAATACTATGGTTTCCTTCTACAACAACTTGTAAGCTCACCGAACATGAAGGTATTGCGATTTTGTAGATATTGTTAACTGTAGTAACTTATATCCCATCCAACTAGCATAGTAATATAAACGAAAGACAAAGTAAAATTCATTAAGTCACATACCATGAGATACCCGTTCCACTTTGAGATGTATTCCAAATCAATAGTAGAGTAAGTACTTGGAAAGGTGACCTACGTTCCAGCGACAGCCACATAGTTAAGGTGTTTATTTTTCAACGATTGAAACAAATTTAAAACTATTTATAGTGAATAAATTTACTCAATTGCGTCAATTGACAGGTTTGTGATTTTCTACATTTGTCGTGTTTTCTCTAATGTTTCAGGAGGCAATTTCTCTCTCTTCCCCTATATTCAATATTTAACTCGTAAGTATAAGTTAGGGGATGGAATTAAAGAGTTGTGCTCCATTGAGTTTGTGTGTGTTTTAGTTCAGTTTTCTTTTTTCTTTGTTATTTTTAGGGTTTGTTTCAAGGTTGATTGATACTTTTTTGTTACTTTCAGTTTTATTTTTTTATTTTAATTTAATATTAAATTAATAATTTTAATTTGGTATATATATATATTTTTTTATTACAATGTATGGATACAAATATCGTACTTGCCTATCCATGTTTCTCTAAACGTTGAAATAAGGTAAATTTGAATACACATTTACGTAACGTTATTTTATTTTATAACATAATCAAATAAATTCAAGTAAATTACGTTGTCAAAAGTGTACATTTTGAGATGATCCTAACGAAACATAACATTTGCATTGAGTTATTGCCGAAGATAAGAAGAACTCAACGGAAATCAGTAAGCGAGCTGTTGGAGCGTGAAGTTTTTATGAGGGTTGTTATGGACTAAGAGGGGTGATTTGTTCCTTTGAGATGATCCTTGAAGTGGAGGGGAAGGTTTAGTGTGTGCGTGGGGAGAGAAGCAGTGCAGGGGACAGGTGCGATTATTTTGAGCACCTCCAGTGAGACCTTATTTCATCCCGATCTCTTTGTGGACTCTGATTTTAATTAAAGCGCCGGGTCACTGCTCATTTATTAATTTTGCTGAGCGTATAAAGGGGGTGGAGGGGCCTTTACAAAATGTTGGTTCGGTTTTGTCCCATTATAATTACTTGGAACAATCAGCAAGCCATCTGAGCTTTCTGTCGAATGTTTGGAAAATCTATTTAGTCGATTTCTTTCGGCACCTCGATTTTGTTTAATCAACTGTAATTGCATGGTTGAATCGGTTTTTAATTTGAATTGTAAACCTAGGAATTTGAATTGTAAATAAAGGACGCTTAAAATAATATCTGTGATATTTATATATTTTGTTTAATTTTTAAATAGATTTGGTTCAATGAAAAATTTAAAACAAATGTACATCTTCGTTTTATTTTTTAAAAGCTCATTGTAAAAAGAAATTAAAATGTCTTATTTGTTGTCTGAATAAATGCTGTAAAATGTTAATTTCCTGCAAAGAACTATCTTCTCCTGCAAACCGATGTTACTGAAAAAGAGAACCATTAAATTTAGTCGCTAGGCAGAGAAGAAATTAAATTCAGCAGGTGTAAGAGAAGCCAAGGCTATCCGCTGTGCAAACAAGCAGCGACGTTACAAAGACAGTCTGCGCGGGTAAACCGATGATGATATATCCCCCTCTTCATCCTCCACCTCACTCAATCTTGCTTTCCCTTTACAACCTTAGGGTACTTCCCCCTCCATCTTTCTTACTCCCCCCCGCTTCATATGACCACCACCTCTACTCACCTTTCCTCTTCCTACTTCCTTCCCCACTTCATACCTCTTCCCCCTTCACTCACCTTTACTCGTTCTCCCCCTCCCCACACTTCAACCAACCCCGCCCTCCACTCATCTTTATTCTTCCTCCTCCCCTACCTCATACCACTTCCCCTCACTCACTTTTACCCTTCCTTTTCCCCGACCCACTTCATACCAATTCCCCTTCACTCAGCTTTACTCTTTTTCCTCCCCCATTTCATAACATATACTCCCTATACTTTGTTTTAGTCTTCCTCCATCTAATGCTATTTCCGGTCTCCCTTTCCCACTTTACGACCTTCCCCTCTCCACTCTTTCTCACTCTAGCAAACCTTTTTGAAGTTTTGTTTGCAAACCATTCAATTAAAAATCAACGTTGAAAGCTAGTTGTATTTTTATGTCTACTTTAGTATTGCATTTAGTGAATTTCGTGTCACATTCCATGTATAACTTTATTATGTTTAATTTCCGTTCACTTACATCCATTATTTTCTTGTTGCAGATCCGCCGGAGATCACGCTGCGACCGCGGAACCAACAAGTCAAGGCGGGCGGGATCGCGGCGTTCTACTGCGCGGCGCGGGGCGACCCCAGCCCCGTCATCGTGTGGCGCAAGAACGGCAAACGAGTGTCGGGCACACAGAGCCGATATCTGGTCCAGGAGTTCAACCAGGGAAGTGCGAGCCTGCTGAGGATAGAGCCTGTGAGAGCCAGCAGAGATGACGCTAGCTACGAGTGTGTGGCAGAGAACGGCGTGGGAGACGCGGTCAGCGCTGACGCCGTGCTCTCTGTACATGAAGGTGCGTGGATGTGAAATATTCCTAATACTCTTAATATACTACCTACTACTGGGTTGAGAACGATGTTTTGATGTCTATCTTGCTATCGTGATAGAATATGTTTTTGATAGAAAAGTGTGTTTGGTTGATCCAGTATTTTCTCGTTTTAGGGACTATCTCTTGGTGAACAAATCCATGGATCCAAAATGCTTAAAATTTATAGAAACGCGTCCCGGGACTATTCAAGAGGGTGCTCAAGTATGCTTGGAATGGTGGATTAAAGAGAGGATGATCTAGCGTTTATTTTATCTATTTTCATTTTCGAAGTATCCATAAACGTAAAATATTCTTAACTTAGTGAAAAACTTCATAATGTGTAAATAGCTTAATATTTGTAATAAATGGGATAGCTAATGTATGCATTACATTTAACTAAACACGTGGTCCTTCCAACTCAGGTTCTTTTTCGTAGCAAGAAAAACGGACCTAATATTAAAACATTTGTTTAAAAAGGTTTACAAAATCTACATGACAACAAATACCCATACAATATTTGGAATCAAATTTAATTTCAAGTTTAAGTTCGATTATGTTGTAATCGTAATGCATATCTCTAACGATAGTCTCAAAATGATGAGTTAATAACACAACCAACATATTCCTTATAATTTCCATCTAGTGCTGAAAATCTTTCAACTCGGAGAAATCCCAAGACAGAGTAGAGCCAATTTCGACTAAGAGGCCGATGTTGTGTGTGAGCCAGTTAGAATTCATTAGCGAATTCTTGCAGTGAATTCTCCAAACGCGGCCGACAAGCTAATGAGTTGGCATTTTAACAGGCAATTGCTTTCTTTTAACTAATCCCGTTCCTTGCCTTTAAGTGAAAACTTTTACGCTGAGGTTTAATTTTCTATTGGTTATCACTTTATATTCACAACTAGCAGAGTACCCGTCCTTCGTACGGGGTTGGCATAGAAGTATAAAATGCTTATACATATGGTTTGACAGCTCCATTTAAGTGATGTTAAATAATGTTTACATTTAGGCTAGTGACATCATTATTTTAATTTATAATCCTTACCCTCTCTGTTCTAATATTCGTGCAGTATTTAATATGTTTGAACCAGCTGTGTGGAATTGTAAAATCAATATTCATTTGACAGTTAGTTCTGCTTGTTTACATTTTTAAACTTTGTAGGTTTGTTCTTTGTTACCATGGATACCATCAATCAATATTTACTTTTAAATCTCTCACCTCAAATTTTTGAATGCCCACGGGGCAGAGCCGTAGGACAATATCGAAGCGGGAATAGTTCTATATGTATCCTCGGAACTGTAGCTTCATTTGTGTGCAATTTGAGCCCAGTAGGTTCAGTAGTTTTTTAGATTAGCTCATACAAACACACACACACACAGACACCACCTCTTCTTTATAATAGTATAGATATTAATGTTTTTAGTTAAATTTGATGATATTTTAATAGAGATATTTTATTGCTGACTAAAAGCTGCAGCTTGGGTTGTCAGATTAAAAACTACCATAGAAGCAACCAGTACTAAAGCAATTTTTTAATGTATAGGTTTCTGAGGTGTACTGCTAAAAAATGTAGGTTTTTTACGCAGAAATTGTATGAAAACTTTTATCGATAGAAAAAATTTCATAATGGATCTCTAATCTTATATATAAAAAAAACTTGTGCAAAACTTGTGACAGCTAGCCTGACCATACTACTGGACCAAATTGCACGCGGGTCGTACCAAAAGGATCATTCGTATCTCTGCAGGTTTTATTTGTATTTTGAAGATTTTTATGTTTGGGTCAAAAATTGAAATTAAACGTTTCTTATGGAGATTTAACATGTGGCCAAAATGTCTTTACACCAGCGATTATTTGAAAAGTCAAGGATAATGTTTTAAGTGACACTATAGACATGTCTCGAACCACTGTATGTCAATCTCAGGTGTATGTAGATGTAATGGGGGAATGGATCTATGGAGGGACGGAGGGCTAAATTATGCACCAACAGTCCCTTGGGAACTATAAGCGCTACTGGAGATAAAAACATCCCCAAACATCTTCCTACATTTTAACTCTGCTATTGTGGTTGTAAAAGTTTAAATTTCATGCATGATTCGAGTGTGAAATTAAATTATTTTTTACGCATCCAATAGCCACCGAAATTGTTTCAGGGAGGGAATAACGAGATTTTTCCTTTTTAAGGGGTTTATTGTTTATTTGGAACTATGGTAAATTGATGTCATTAAACGGATCCACATTTGTTTTTTTTTACAATAGGAACATAGGTATATTTTTATTACAGGTTAAATCAAATGTGTAGGGCTTAAGATTATAGGTTATGAGATGCGTTTGTCATAAAAGTACAATGAAAGTCAATTCTAGGTAGAATTATATTGAGTTGAAATTGAATAATATTCATCGTTTTAATCCTGTAGCTATGCATTCTCCGTCGAGAAGCTTTTCTGTAATGTCATAGCATTGGCAGACAAAGGTATATTCAAAGGTGGTATTCAAAGGTCATAGCTATTAATATCGATTGTTATTCCCAGATACCTAACAAGCTTATTCCTTTGTGTAATTTTAAATGGTGACATTCGAGGTAATAGCCATCACTTAAAATCTGTATTTGGATATTAAGAGTGAGTGATTGATTCAAATTGGAATTCCGAAGTCAGTTGCCGCTCTGTTTGGTTTTAAAAGTATTACCAACATTATACTTGATATATTATGATTTGATGGATGTGTTTGCACTCTGGGGTATGGAATAAGGGAGCTTTCATCTGTTCAATGTTATTCCTAAGTCAGTTGGAGAACTTCATCCAGGGTAAATGCTGTAGCTTGACGTTATAGGTCATACTCTCGTACCCCTCCCCCCCACCTCCGGGCAAGTAAGTTTTGCTCTCCCCTTCCCATCCCCCCACAACGCTTCTTGTAGTTCCTAAAGCTGTACAACCCTGTTACTGTACATCTGCATACTTTGTACTACGGTTCTCAAGTCTTTGGAGGTGTTGATGTGCTTACTAGCGTCGATTAAATATAATAAACCACTCATAATTTTGCTAAGAAAAGGAATACTTCCAACACTACGTAAAATAGAAACGTTGAAATATGAATTTTCCTTAATGACTATGTTTATCAAATTTAGTGTTTTGGAGTTAAAGTTCCTTGGAATCCCAAAGTACCAGCTGATTATTTCAATCCAGAACAGGTGGCTAGCAGTTATGCTTTACAAGTCCTCCGATCGATGTACCTGTTTCAGGTAAATATTAACGTTTCGCCTAAATAAGAATTTATGATAATCCCTGACGAATCAGATGCTTATAGTTAAAAATAAATAATCATACTACTAGAAATTAATTAAAACATCAATTTACAAACCGTAGGATAACGAAATTCCAAATTAACAGGCATCCTGAATCGAAAAATATCGAATAAACGAATGTACAACACTATAATGGCTCAATTACAAGTAATGAATTATCCTTTCTTGTGCTGTGCAGTCAAAGACACCGTTAGGTTTCATTGATGGTTCGTCCTTATATTGGATATCCTAGGTAACCGTTTTATAGGCGTTATATTGGATGGATTTTACCAAAGTAAAACCTACAAACACGTAAAACAAATTACAAATATTCAGCACAAGATGTAGATATAACAAATTGTTCACATGAACAATAATTTTCAAATTAATTTAAACCTTGTTTATTATTTTCATAAAAGAAATATTACTATGTCTCATTCTGCTTATGAAAAGCGTCCATTATTTCATAGCGAACAAACACGAGCAACTTTTTTATTCTATCAGACTAAAAGACACTGCCTCTCCACTACCACACAACTTAAACACACAAATCCAAAGACAATTAAACATTATTGAAATCAGCAATCTAGGTGGAATGCCGTTGGTATAAGAATTTCGTCCCTACTTTTTAATGTTATTGTTATTGTTTATTCATGAGGAGATCTTGATAGATTTTATGATAAATGAAACATGGAACATTGCAAATTTTCGTTTAGTACAAACGTTTTCAAGCAAAGAGAAATTAATGAAAAATTTAAAAATGAACAAAACAAATAAATATGTACTGTTTACAAATAGTTGAATTTTGAGAATATATGATTGAGTACAGATAAAAGAAAATAATAAAATCAGCCTAAAAGAAAATAAAATCAGCCTAAAAGAAAATTAAAATTCAGCTGAGTTGAATCACTTTTTGACTATCTTAAATTTAAACCAGAGGGGAACTTTGTTTTCAGTACCAACTGGTGAGCCAATTCAGAATTTCTTAAAGTCAGTTGGTTGCATTTAGGGTTTTGATGTGGGTTTACTTTGTGAAGGGCTTTAAGGGTATAGCAGCCTTCAAAATTTTGGTTGTGGTGAGCGGCATGATTATAAATTGGTTTTCTTTTGTCTTCATGTACCACATCAAAATGATGGCCTGTCATTCGAACTCTTAAAGAGTTTAAAGTCTGGCCAATGTATTCTTTTGGACAATGTTTACACGATAGTTGATAAATCACATTGTGAGATTCACAAGTTGATCTACCAACAGTCGGATAAACCTTGTTTGTAACTTTACTATCAAATTCAGTTGTATTACTTATTGTTATTGTTTATTGTTATACTTTTTATTCATGCATTTAGTGTTATCTCTTGCTGCCAAATACTCTGTTAAGTGCCTACCACAAACCGCCTTAGAACTAGTATCATATTTTTTGTACTTAGAAAAAACAAAACTAGAAATTAATATTGTAAACTCTGTTTGCCATTTTTATTATCTATTGGTCCTCACCGACTAGTATTGTAAATTTGGCGAGACCATGCATGTAATATCTTGAATAAATATATTTGAATTTGAATGTTTACACCAGATAACAAGAAAAAAACAATTGTAAACTATAGAACTTAAAAATTTGAATATGAATCTCGGATGTAATTAAACCCGAGTTATCGCTGAATCCATTCAAATTTTAACGTACCATTAAGATTTGTTATAGTTAC